AGCAATGTTATAAATTAACAATAAAATCCCACATTAGATGAACAGGTATTTTTACCAATATCTTTTATACAGTTCCTGAAATCACATTACCAAGTTATTCACAAGTACAAAGTAATAAATCATAGCGGGGCAGTTTTCTTGTTCTCTTTTCATGAGAATAATCTATAGAACGAAATCTTCTGTACTGCATTTATGGCACTGAATTCTTTCTTGCATGATAAAGTTTTTAAATGTCAAATTCTGGGGGTTTTGTTTAAGAGCACCATGAAGCATTCAATTACGACAAAGTATAGGGTAACTTAGTTGGACCTTCTTTTAATTTAACCAAAGACTTGTGTTCTCATTGCCAAAGAAATAGCTGCAAAATAGTAATTTTTGGTGTACAAGTCATTGATCAAAGAAGAGGAGTTTAAAACATATCTTTCTGAATTTTAGAAACATGATACGAATTTGTTTTTTAAGACTGGTATGCCGACTAGTTAGTCGCTCAAGATAACAAAAACTATAGAAATATATCCGAGTTTATCCCTCGTACTTGATCGGTATCTACACGAAATGAACCCTCGCAAATTTTACAGTATCTTAAGGTGCCACACCCAAATATTTACACCAAAAATAGTTTATGATTACCATATTCTAAGTAGTCTTGAAATATTTTCATGTTTATGATATATCTAATTTCTGTCTTATTAATGTTTTAATTTGGTTCAATATTTAATTAGATAAATAAAACACCCATCCACCCCTTCAAAATACGACCTAAAGTCTTTAATGTTAATCAGGCAAAAATTTGAATATTTTCTAAAGGATCAATGTCAAAAAAGATATTTTATTAAATTAATAATGCAATTGAAAATGCAAAGGAATTTAAGTATCTAGGGATAATATTTTCTCGGGCTCATTTTGTAAGGCCAAAAAACATTAATTTGAGCAAGCACAGAAAGCGATGTATGGTGTTATAAGGAAGATGAGAGTTTAACTCACTAATCGAATGACAGTTAGATATTTTTGATAGAGTTTTTGTTCCAATTTTGACTTATGGCTGTGAAATTTGTCAAGAAATTTTCTGGGTTTAATACGTTTGGGAAGGGAATTTAGATTTTTTTTTGGGGGGGGGGGGGGTTGTCAAGAAATTTCTAGGTAAGATTTTTTTGGGGGCCGGGTTGCCCCCCCCCCCCTGGAAAAATTTCCTGGATCCGCGCCTGCCGCTGATTGTGGATGTGAATGTAATGAATGAACTTGAACTTGACAAGGTACAATGGAGACCCCTATAGCTAAGCAAATTGCATGGAAAAATATTACGAACAAGTTCAAAAAGCAAGTGATATTTAAAAGAAAAGTAATAAAATTTTAATCTAAGTTTAAATGTTGTAGTTAAACAACACGATATTTTTAAAAGTATAGATATTAACTTTTATATTTTTAATCAATTTATTATTTTTTCTTTTTTAATTGTATGTTGTCATGAAATGTTTATTTTACCTATCCAAACCGACGCTACATGGCGTTTTAGGGGGAAAAAAATGGACGTTTTAGTGGAAGATTTATCAGACATTACATAGCAGAATTCTAAATAGATCATCGACTTTTAAGGGATGAATTAAATCAAGTATATACATAATACGTACCTTTCGTGTTAGCCAGACCAAGTCTGCTACCACTTCTCAACAGCAGGGATTCTGAGCAGAGTTCGTTTTAGTACAGTTAATGTTTAAAACTATAAATTGGGATACGAAAAGTATTGTGGTCACTGTGTTTCAGCGAGGCAACTACAAGAAACAACATCAGCTTTTTGTAATCCATCAATTCTGTACTGAAACATGACAAAAATTATACGTGTTTTCCTTTGAAGAAAGAAAAAAGATTTTAAAATTACACGAGTACATTTTGTGTGGAATTCAATGTAGATATGGAAGTATAGATTTTGGATGAGAAAGCATTAATAAGTATGACTCCAATAGAAAACTTTTTGAAAAAAATGTGTTTTAGCAATAATAAAGTCTGAAAAAAAAATGGTTTAACAAAATGTAACATTTTGTTCAGTATCCTTACTATCCTATGTCCACTCGGCACACCTCGGGTGACGGAATCAGCCGAGGTTTGCCGAATGATCCTGTGTCCTCAAGGTTCACTGACCCTACGATAAGAGAGATAACTCTTAGTTGGATATATAACTATTAATCCTTTATAATGTGAAATTGCGTCCCGCAAGGTATGCTGAAATTGTGTGCATTTCAATTATAAAGTAGATATCTTTTTTCAGAATGATTAACGTAAAATTTATCTGAGGATGATCATCCTTAATTCAAGAGAAGAGGGAAAACAATATTCATACTTAGCAAATGACGATTTTTTTTTTCAGAAATGGGTTTTGAAAAAAAAAGAGAAAATAATTAAATACATGTCTCGCCAATGTGTCTGCAAAGCGGCTGCGACAGGCGGCGAGACAGACAACTACATAAAATAATCCCCAAGTGTATGTAGATGCAACACACAAATTCTTGACCGATAAATGGAAGAATCTGGTGGGGTTTTTTTTAATATACGAGGGGTGATAAAAAAGTTTTCGAACTAATTGAATTACTTCCATAAACCAAATAAAATTAGATTTCAGTGTTCATTATTTTGTAAAGTAGTCCTCTCCGATTTTAATTCACATCTGCCACGTTCTGGTCATGCGCGAATCACGTGATCCAGGCGGTCACGTGACATGCTCTGTAGCGTTCTGTTCGCAGAAGCTAAAAGATTCTTCCGAATCTTGAATTTCTTACCATTCAAGTTATTTTTTATAACAAGAACAGTCCATTTGTCAGAAATGGCCAAATCTCGGCAATAGGATGGATGGATAAGGATATCCGTTCCCAGAATGAGCATGGTGACCATCACAACCCGAGTCCTCCGTCTTTGGAGCCTCGTACCCAATGTAGATAAAGTATGGATGTTTTCTTTTTATCATATTTGATATGGTTAAAGTCTAACGTAAACGATATTGTAGGATTTAATAATTATATTATTGTTAACATACTGTGGTTTCATCATTATTCGTGGAACACCAATTTTCGTGGATTTCGTTGTTGAGTCGATCCACGAAATCAAATGTTCATCGAAGTTTGGTGCCACCATTTTGATTTATAATAAACCTTTAAAAAGTCTATTACGACTTTCGTTAATATATGTGAATCCCCCTTTTCCCAAACAGGTTAAATTGGCTTAATAAACGTACGTATTTTATTCATTTTAAATAATATTTAAAAAAAAAAAAAGAAGAAGAAGAAGAAATACTGTTAGATAATTATCTGGCAACTTTTAGTACCGGTAAATATACGTTTAAATACTCTGCACGGAGAAAAACGAACAAAACGTAGAACTGTCAACGCGGTGATATACTAATTAGTGGAATAACACAAACGATGATAGAATAGGTCAGATTATCAGGTGTTAATGTGTAAATTCGTTATTTTCAAACAATCTAACGGTCCAACACCGGTTATCACCTACACAATGAAAACACAAATTATCGTTAAATAAAAATTCCGGTAGAAATAATTAATTACTCTCTGTTCATAAGTGGCTTAAATCATACAACTTATAAACACAATTAAATGCTAATTTGACCTTGAAACAATTTTTTTGTTAAGCATGAGAAAACGGGTATGTATGTTCGGAAGTCCTGCCATTTCGAAGCCCTTCAAGGCTTGTTTGTCGTCCATTGAGTCGTATCCAGCAAGCGTGGATATGTTTGTTCGGAGATCTACAAACAAGGGGGTCTGGATGTCACTGTCGAGTCCAGAAACATTACGCTGTGCATGTGAAGAAATAGTCTCTAACACCATTTTGTAAATTTAAGTACTTCATAATTTTTGTTACATTTTTAATACCCTGTTTCCACACTTAATTATCGTCCGTGCGTGCGCCTAAAAGATAAAATTCAAATTGTCTTAATATTTTAAGATACTTGCACACCTTTTAACCGAAACTTTGATTAAAATAAAGTCTATTTTAATTAATTGTTTTAATAATCTGTTTCAATATCCAATATTTAATTTGCCAATCAGGATCATAGTCTTACAATGGAGACGGTATTTGGAATTCCATAGTACTCTTTATTGTTGTACCATGTATACTGCGTTGTATACGCTTGAAGGTTCCGACTTTTAAAAATACAGATGAGTAATGTATAAAGAATAAATTGTTTTGAAATATTAACGTACATTGTAAAAGATTCCCGCTGAAGCATACGGAGAGTAAAAAAATGAAAAGGTGACAATTTATTTTATATGATCATCATCCACGAATTTACGTATCCTTGAAACAGTGATTTTTACTAAATCCACGAAAATTGATGCCCACGAATATTAATGAAACCACAGTATTCAACTATTTTTCTAGCTGTAACTTAGCGATCTTTTATAAAAAGTTGCTCAACTAAGTACACTTCTCTTCCCCGGCTTGCTTTCATTGGACAACAGAACAAACATAATTTTCAACCATCCCCCTTCCTTCATTAAAACAACCAATCCAATTAATGATTGAACATCTGGCAAGTCCTTTATCTTCATAAACCTTGTACTAATTATTACATGCTACTGCAAAGGAATTTCCAAGATATACGTTAAACTTCACAGCCGTTCGATGCGCGAATACGACAGAGTCAACCATTTTTGTCACAGGGCACCTACATATTAACGTCATTTTCACATCGTGAAGTCACAAACATGGAGCAAAAATTAATTAACATCTGCTATTTATAGAACATGTGTATGACTATATGTGTGCCAAATTTCATTTTGATTTTTTAAGTGTGGTTTTGTAAATAAAGAGATAGTTCGCGAAATTTTTGATCACCCCTCGTAATTTGCCTTTTAGATTTTTACAGAAGGCTAAATGTCTAACACAATAAAACTGTTCTGGATATTTGAATCTTTCTGTAAACGTTCAAGACAATTACATGCATGTATAGTTCAAGATTATTATTCAGAACCAAGAAAGACAAAACTAGAAACTATTCAAGCAAATTTACTGTCGATGTGACTGATAATTCTGATACCGTACAGCTCAACAATAGGGTGACAAGTAAAACAAAACATCATAATTATGGAATCCAGTCGGGAAAAGGGTTATTACACCCTTAATTCAGTAACGTGAATTGTAGTGCACATTAACTTTGCCATCGATATAGAATTGTGAAGTTTTGACTTCTTCTCTTTTCGATTATGTTATAATTAATAATAATAATTACCTTTGTATTACAGGTTTTTAAATAGAGTTTATAATAGAGTTTTGCGATCCACTCATGACAGTATGTACAGAGGGAATTTTATGAGCTCCTCTTTATGACTAAAAATAAACAATGTGTTTCAAGAAAGGTCAAATCATTTTTTTTTTTGCGCAAGCTCTAAAGATGAAAAGGGGAAAAATAAAGTGTTAATTAGCCGAATTATATTACCTTTAATGCGAAATGATTAATATTTCCAAGAGGTCAAGACACCCTAGTAATTAAATCTCTGTGTTAAACTCTTATAATCATCATACAAGTAATTGGACATTCAGCTGCATTCACGTTACCATGGCTATGGAATGTGTATGGAACGATTTTTTGAAGTTTGATGTAGCAAATGGGTACTCAAGTTTATTTGTACTTATTAATACGCTAGGCATTAAGAAATTAAAACATTAAAATTATGTGTCCTGATACTCCATGAAAATTTTTGTTTTTACTTGAGTGTAGTTTAATGGTCATTTGCCAAAAATTTAAAATTTCTGTTCATTAATCACGATTGACATGTGCTTTCTATACAGTTTATGGGGTAATGTAGGCAATCGGAACATTCCTCGGCCCTTTCCGTCAAGTCGAGAAAAAAAGAGACACCTGACGGAAAAAAACGAGCGATTTCCGATTGGAAATGTAAGGTGAGCGTAAATGGCAGTGCACATATAACAAGGATATCAACTTTCCTCTTCCATGGATGGGGATGAAAATATTCAATGAACGATCACAGATAACAGTCATTAACATAAAGTCATTCCTGGAGCTCATGAAAATGACGAAATATACAGAATATACAACCTATCATGGCATTGGAAAATCCGGAAAAACATGAGCAGGTAACATAAGTGTATAACAAAACATAAGTAAAATTCAAGTGTTCAACAAGCGTCAACGGACGTAACAATTTGCATAATTATATCTTTGCATATAACGTTATAAAGTTACATGACCAACACATTCTTGATGTTACTGAAAAAAAGTCAACATGTTATCATTATATTTTTTTTTAAAAAAATGCTCACAAATAAAAACAAGTCTTATTTTTTTGCCGATTCAAGTGACGTATTAAGCAGGTTTTAATGACAAATCACTACGAACTCCAGCATCTTTCTGTCGAAGATACTCACGCAACTCATACAGTTGACTATGCATGTTGGTGATGAGTTTTTCCAGTGTGTCAAGTCTCTGTTGAATATTTTCTTGCTCTGTTTTAATGTCTGAGGTATTGTCTGTTATTTCAGTTATATTTTTTGAAATTTCAACCACTCCTATCACACTGTCTCGCATTTGAGACTTGTCAAATTGAGATTTCTTCATTCGCCGAATGGCGTCCAGAAGTTTTCGGCGGTGTTTCAAGATCCGTGGACTATGGAAAGACAAACCCGTCCGTCGCAGTTTCCAAACCATCATCGAACGTTTCACAACGTCAGCTGCGGCATGGCGATGGAGTTTGTCCAATTTTATTTGTTGTACAAATGTATGCACATATTTTTCTGACCGACTTTGTTCCAGTTTTCGAGCCAAAACTGCGACACATAATGCCATGATGCCAACACCCATGAGTCCCGTGACAATAGCTATAATCCGACCGCATATACTGTTAGGTACTACATCTCCGTAGCCAAGAGTAAGGAACGTAACTGCTGTCAGCCATAGAGCTTGCAAATAATTTCCATGGTCTCTGTCCACTGTGTGATACTCACACACTCTAATTGACCAACTACTTATCAGAAGAGTACATAGTAAGATGGCCATTAAACAAGAGCCAGGATGTGTGGTCATAAGGGCCTTGAAAACAAACTGAGCATTGATTTTTACTTTACTAAGCGTACCTAAACTTTGTACAGTGGTATCACGAAATAGATCACTATGTACCACTAAGTACCTACAAAGTATATAAAGACGCAAAAACATGAGAACAGTCAAAATGGAATTAATAGGAATGCGTCTATCCTGGAACACGGCACCACCATCCGCGCCCTCAGTCACGACTACCACAGGAACCCGGATTTCACCGTAAGGTAAAGGATGGATTGAACAGATGACGACTTCCGTCAAAACTTTAATAATTATGGAATAATTTATGACTAATCGCCAGTTTTCCAACCCTGCAGTAATCAGTTGTAACTTAACCCCAATTAAGTTGTATACAATAACCGAGGCTACCAACAACACGCTGGTGATGGAAGTGATTATTCGTAGAATCACAGATTCCGTTGTAGTGTATATTCCACCATATCGGAGTTCGGTGTCTATCACATTTGCAAGAATTCCAATGATGCTTAGAACAAATGAAGCATCTACAACTCGGGTTCGGCGTTCGATCAATTGTTTCCTACTGTACAACCGGAAACCAAGGTTTGATTTGCCGTCTGCTTGCTTGGCATTGGATTCCATACTCGGGGATTCTGATATCAAGTTCTCAGTACTAACGTAACGAGTGTAGTTGGAATCCGTTTTAATAAGAGGAATTCCGGGACCCTCCATGACCTGGCGAGTACCCTCCAGTGCCTGCAAAAAATGAAAATATTTATCTCCCAGAATTCTTCTTAATGTTGTGAATACGTCAACTGATTTCGGGTTTATGATTATGTTTTCGTCATCGAAGCATTTTAGCGAAATGTCTTGTATTTTGTAAGAGAGAATCACTTCGCACCACTGCTTAAAAGCTCTAGCAAATCAATTACATTAATGAATTTATTGTTTCTCCATGTATGCACATCGTTAGAAAAAACACATTTATTGTCTTTTCGAATTAAGCTATGTGTTATCTGGTTTTAACGCGAGCGTCAGAATTTCTTTTTCCCTGACAAATCTATATAGAAATTTTCCCTTAATGGAAGTCTGCGACAAGAATGTTTGTCCGATTATGAATTTATGATACCGTGTCTTCAAAATGATCACGAAAGTTTCCATGGCAATCAGCTAGACTTAGTGAAAGCCAGAAGGCAGTGTTACCTTGAATGCAGTGGTGTTCATAAGTCTCGACAAGACAGGATGGACCAGCGTGAAACATCATTCTTATCATGTGTCGCCAAGCATCGTCTGCAATAAAAATATAAACAACGTTATTTTAATTCCATAATCGTCTGCAAGTAAGAAATGCCCATAAAATCTGCAATACAGACAGAAAATAAAAAAATAAATAACCCCGACAAACTACAAACTTTTTTTTTTTGATGTAACGGGGCCCAATGTTGCACAGATTAATGAATTATCGATTGAAGTTTGTTTAAAATGTCGTTGACTAATCTAATGCCAACTTAATATAGTTGCTAGCATTTCATAACTGCCCACTAGATATTCGATGAGGTGGTTATACAGCTATAATCAATTTTATAGAGGTTATTTTTTGCTGGTATCTTTGGTGGTGATTTGCTGTTTAGAACGTAACTGTATCGATAACCTTTCCTATCGGTCTCCAGTTCGGTCTCATATGAGACTTTGGCCGAGGGTTACAGCCGATTCAATGAGATGATATTTCATTTCATCTCTTTTGCTTCAGTCCGAATTAAATTGAAGACAATAAATGGAAACATTTCAGCATTTGGTAATGGATCAAAATGCATTATATCCCAAATCATGATGCAACGAACATGAAAATCTGCGCGTGGCTTTTCATATGTTAAACTTTTTTTTTACTTCGTGACTTTTTCCATTGATCTCAAATATATTTTCGATGTAAAAGTGAAAGACTATTCATTAGATGTACTTCAAAAAAGCAATTGAACTTTTTTAATCAAATCTATTCGTAATTAAATATAACTACAAATAAGTAATTAAGGAGAAATTGTTTAGTAAAGTGCTTGATGATTTTCATACCAGGCCTACAGATAAAGACGAATGAATTATGGCGTATTTAATCCTGTAAGGTATAAAAGTCATCTTCGAAATTTATAAAATCAAGTCATTTATGCCAATATTTATAACTTCGTAAAATTTTTAGATGATTCTGATTTCTTTTTAAATTGATAACAAGGTTTTTTTTTTTAATTTTATCATTTGTGTCCGTGTTTTCCCGAAGTATAATTGAATTTACTAAGTTCTAGTTCAACGCATACATCGAACTGTTTTGAGAAAATCCAGAGTGAAGCAAAACTTTGATTTTACAAAACATTAAAAATACTCAGAATATTTTCACACTTTCTGCAAAAAATATCACATTTTCAGCAGTGATGTCTCATATTGAACAGCTATGGCCTATTTGCTAAGCCGATCTATGGTACGATTCATCATATGTGACACGAACTTAAGACTGCATTTTGTGTCAGTGAAGATGAACAATAACTCTGTTTATACTCCTGATTAGAAATCGATATTGCAGTACTGTCTAAAAAAAATCGAAACTGATTCAGTCAGCATATATACTAACATGATATAAATAAAATAAAAAAGAAATCTCACCACAGATATTTATATAAACTTTATTTTCGGTCTGATATAAGGCTACCAATACAAAATTATAAATATGTATACAATAAAGCTAAAACTGTATTTAATAGGCGTTTTCAAGCCAAAATGGCCTCCAGCATGACACTCGGTGTAGTGCCATTTTTGTTGATATTTACCTCCTTGCACAGAAAAGTCGTTCATTTAATTTTTTTATTTCAGAAACATAAATAAATGCTAAATAAAAATCAAAAGCCTGAAAGGCTTCAATGACGTCGAAGAAGAAAAACAATTTCAAAAGATCATTTTGAATTTGAAGATAACAATAAGTCAAGTGAGTGACTCAGGAGAATAATAAAAAAAAAGTTTTAAACAAAATATCACAATTACAGTCTGGGGCCTTATGTCATGGTCCGAATGGAGCAGGGTTCGAATTGACCAGACACCGTCGAACATGTTCATGCTAAATTCTTTTCAGTCAGTTGAAGAACTATGAAGGATTTCATGAATTTATATAATATTTTTTCTAATTGCCAATGTCAAAGCGTTGTATTAGTGATTGCATCTAAACTACACCAAGACTGTTCTGTTACAATTACGATCGAGTTACGATCGGGCGTGGTATACGGTATACTGGGAAATGGAGGAAATGGAGAAATACAGCAATACTGGTCAATATCATCGGCTTTTAGGATAGAGTTGGTTAGAAGATTTTATAAGTAAAGCTAAGATTTAGATATTCAATCTTTTTAGTCTTGTAGTGTTCGTGTTTATGTAATTTTGTAATTATTTTACCTCCTGTTGTGTTGTTTATGTTACACGGTTATCGTTCCGAAATGTTATTCATGTCATTCAACGCACCCTTTCTGTAGAAATTCATCCGCAACAACCATCACATTTTTCTTGTGTGAGAATAAAACATAATATTGTTGTTTTGCAATAGAATTAATTGCAGATATAGTTGATGCAATTTTATTTTCAAATTACTATTCATTTTGAGCGTTTTCAAAGAAATTGGTTTATAGCTATTGCTATTTTCTATTGCGGATGCATCGACTGACACATTCGGTCGCGTACATATCCGGTCGCGATTTCAACTGGGCGCTTGCTAGATGACGTTCGAGCTCCAAGAACTCGACGTCATAAAAATAACTCGTAAATTACTCTAAAATCATGATTCGGTTAAGATCTTTAAAACTTTTTTTCCTTCAAATAATTCTATTAAAAAAACAAATTTAAACCTTTTTTTCTAATAATTCTATAAGCAACAGCTGTGTGTTGAAAAATGCCAATCCGTCTTCATCAAATCCAAGGTACCATCCTTCCATAATTTAATAAAGCAATGCAGATGTGGAAGGAAACCTTATAAATCAATATACATTTTGAAATGCAATAAATATTCACATTTTATTTTTAAATACAATTTATTACATGTGCACATAATTATAAATAACTTTCGTAATTTAAAAAAGAATGGACGAAACACTAATTCTAGATCACCATAACATTAGTATGCATTTACTTGTTTTCTTTATTAAGTTTCAGCGAACTTTATTGAGAGGTTTATGATTAAGTTTTTAAAAATATTTCAACTTTTTTTTAGCAGTCTAGACAACAGATTATGAAAGGTAAATAAAGTTATGAAGGTTACTCATCAATAGAACTAGTCAGGCTAACGCAGCATATGTTATGAACAGTTCGTCCTCTGGTACACTTAATTAAATGAAGTGAATAGAGAGATATCTATTGATGAAAATCGCAAAACGTCATTGACGTGTCAGAGTTATGTTTATGACAGCATCAGTGCAATTAATTAGGGCCTTATGGCAGGAAATGTAATATATATTATATTAATACTACTGACATAAATGTATATTACATGTATATTGCAAAAGCAGGGGTAGCCAAAATATTTTTAAAAATTGCATAAAATCGGTGAAAATAAGAAAAACGGTCACTGAGACGAGAGTTTCTGTTCTGCAATCCATTAGACGTATTTATACATATTACAGAAACTGGTTATTATTATTTTGCACATAGTTCTATTAAACGGATATATGCTGAAAATCATACTATGCAAATAACGCATTGCAATAGTGGTTAACGAAATTGTTATGCGTAAATCAGACTCAAGGTTGTGAAATTATAGATATTTATTAAATGCAAAACGATAAATATTTTCATGCCGTGTTTACTTACTAGTATTATCCTTGTAGTAGGTTTCCTCCAACACGCAATCACGTACACACTTGAATTATTCATTTTTGACCGATCTGATTCCGTCTTTAATTAACTTTTGCGTAATTTAAGATCAAAGAAATACAGGGCTTACAGAGAAGTCCACTTACCGTGATAGCGACATATTATTCCGGTTCTAGTAGACCCCAATCTCAAGAATATACCCGGAATAACAAATTCTTTCTCTCTCACTCACAACAGAGTTAAATATATATATGTTTTCTACTTCACAGCTGCAGTGTAAAAACTGCTGTACTCTGAAAATAAGCACAGAATCTGGAAGCTTTTGATCCTAGCGCAATAGCTCTTTAATCAAACGTCAGTTGTCAGATTTTGGTTAAAAATTATCTGACTTCAGTAAAGGAGGTGCGTTCCGTGGCTTAAAATTAGAAAGCGCACCGATTGATTCTTTTGGTATACTCGATTCACAGAACAATGCCACGCCTTAAATCATTGGAAAATATCACCTGAAAATTGTAACGTCCACTGTCAATCTTATATTACACGTCATTGACATTTGCAGAACACCTGGTTCCTATTACAGGTAATTAAATCTCACTTTCTATGTGACAGCCGAAGTCCAGCGTCTTTGGTAAATACACCGCGCGGATCGAAATTCAGTTCAATTTACGTCACGGCTTGCGCCATCTATTTTAATATTTCAATGATCATCGATGATTTGCTATAGATGTAAGGAAGAATTAATTGATACGAAATGTTCTATCGGTCTCTAAAACAACGGCTCGTTCACAACTCGTTCTAATAGCACGAATCTAATCAACGTCCTTCTTAGACTGAATAGTTAATTTCATGTCCAATGTCTCCACCAAACTGTTGCCGTCTTAAGCTTCCTTATATACTCTATGTTGAAGTAAGCACTTGGTCACCCAGCCAACCAAACGACCACTAATTACTATCTAGCTTGTCCTCTTAATCTGGCAATGAATCTCAGCCGTGCTATTTTTCCCGATCAGGGATGATAAATTTAGCAATATATGATCAGTTACCACAACTATCAGGTTATCTGAATCAGCATAACTAAAATTGTATTATTCAACACAAAGTTATTTATATAAAAATTAGATTAATCACCCCCCAAAAAACATAATCAATAGTTACACACTATCAAAATAAAATTATTCTGTCAAATAGATAAATAAAGATCTCAAGAGAGATTTTACATACATGTACATAAAAATATAAATATTCCTTTTCAGTTACAGCCTGCGAGACCTCGTAAAATCCATATCTATATAACAAATGTATACGTACACTACTAATAAGTATGCCCCAAACTGGCTTGACCAGCAATGTGCAGTGCTTAATATAATGGTAATAAAATCTGCATCATGCGGAGGAATTCCCATACTACAATGTTAAGTACTTTGCAGATATAGTGCAGGGATTCTCGATATAAT